CAGGGCTCCTGGGTGAGTATTCTACAATATTACTCTGGAGGAGGACTCACTGGGGCAAGGATGGCAGAGGTCCTGAGGGAATGCCAGCCCCATCGAAGAACAGTGGGCAGGGAAAAGGAAGTGACAATGCGCCTATGCATGTATGCTATTCTCAAAATTCCAACAGTTGAACAATCATATCAGAAGCAAGTATCAAAACTTTTGATCACAAGCAACATGGCTGCCTCTGAGCAAGACAGTAGTGTTGCAGCCGAGGCAGACCGGGAATTGGAGGAGCTTCTGGAAAGATGCCTTGTTCGCCTCCCAAGAGAAGTTTTTCCAGGAACTGTTCAACAGTGAGCTGGCTTCCCAAGCTACTGCAGAGTTTGAGAAGGCAATGCAAGAGTTGGCTGCGGAAGAGCCCCACCTGGTGGAGCAGTTCCAAAAGTTCTCAGAGGCTGCAGGGAGAGTGGGCAGTGATGTGACCTCCCAGCAAGAATTCACTACTTGCCTAAAGGAGATATTAAGTGGACTAGCCAAAAATGCCACTGACCTTCAGAACTCAGGCATGTCAGATGAGGAGCTGAACAAGGCCATGGAAGGGCTGGGCATGGATGAAGGGGATGGAGAAGGAAACATCCCACCATCATGCAGAGTATCATGCAGAACCTACTGTCCAAGGATGTGCTATACCCATCACTGAAGGAGATCATGGAGAAGTATCCAGAATGGTTACAGAGTCACTGAGAATCTCTACCTCCAGAGCAATTTGAAAAATATCAGGAGCAGCATAATGTCATGGGCAAAATATGTGAGCAGTTTGAAGCTGAGACCCCCACAGAGAGAGAGGCTGCTCAGAAGGCATGTTTTGAGATGATGCTAGATCTTATGCAGCAGCTACAGGATTTGGGCCATCCTCCAAAAGAGCTGGCTGGGGAGATGCCTTCTGGCCTCAACTTTGACCTGGCCTCAAGATGCCCTCAATCTGTCAGGCCCACCAGGTGCTACTAGTGAACAGTGTCTGATCATGTGAAACACACAACACTGTTTCTTCCCTGAGTCTCAGCCATGAGGAACATATGGAGTCTGCAGAGCCATTGGGAATGGAGACAGGACTGTCATGTGCAAGAGTGATCTGCCTACTGTCCTCTAACATCCCATTCAAGACTGTGCCATACAAGCTGAAGCTTTTCCTCTGTCTTTCTAGGAATATGATCTGTTCTGCAGGCTGTTTGTATGAACCCTCTTCCATTGTGGTTTCTGCTGCTAGCAAAAGCCCAGCTTCCTGCCAGGTGAAAGATGGCATCCCTTTTGGGGCATGCACCTTCTTCCCTCTCCCAAAATAATGTTATATATGGCAAAAAAAACCCTTTTGATCACAAGTCACTTTGGGCTGGTGGGAATGTAGACTGGTGCAACCATTATGGAAATCAGTGTGGAGACTCCTTAGAAAACTTAGACTGGAAATCCCATTTAAACCAGCTGTTCCTCTACTGAGAATTTTCCTGGAGGATCTGAAAACATCATATCATAGGGATATATGTGTGCCTATGTTTATAACAGCACAATTTGTGATAGCCATATCTTGGAAACAACCAAGATGCCCATCACCTGAGGAATGGTTGAAAAAGATGTGGTATTTTTATAGAATGGAGTATTACTCAGCTATAAAGAATGATAAACTCAGAGCCTTTATATTGAAGTGGATGCCACTTGAAGATATACTCATAAGTGAAATAAACCAGACACACATGTATAAATATCACATAGTTTCCCTAGTATAAGAACTCAAAAGAAGAAATAAAAATAGAAAGATATAATACAAGTAAAAGGAAAGCAGGAACTCGAGGACTAACTAATTAAGAGAGGGAAAGGAGAAGAGCTAGGAAACATGACAGTGACAAGCCATACACTTATATGTAGAAGATGGGCAAGGCAATGATCCTGAGAATCTCCAGAAGATTTTTGAATCTAGCAGTTAATTGGAAAGATTCTC